AAAGAAAGAAAGAAAGAAAGAAAGAAAGAAAGAAAGAAAGAAAGAAAAGCAAAAACAAAAACAAAAACAAAAACCAACTAAACAACAACAACAAAGCCAAAGCTGTAGGGATTTGGGATGGCTCCCTAGCACCTATACAGAAGTCTGGCAGACATGGTGTCTAGCTTGTAATCTTAGCTTAGGAAGTCCAGACAGGGATGCCGGGGTAAACAGGTAAGTAGACCAGCCAGATCCCAGAGCTCCAGCGTCGGTGAGAGATTCTGCCTCGGCGTGTTAGGTGGAGAGCAATAAAGGAAGACGTGTGACGTGTGGAACCAACTTGTGACCTTCACATGTACACATGCATACATATAAGCACACACCGCATGCCGAAAAAAGAAAAACCTAGTAACAATAAAGAAAAATAAACAAACAGAAAGGGGGGTGCTTAAAGTAAGAGGCTCCATGCTGCAGGCTACTTTTTGGAACACAAAAGCTGGGGGAGAGGAGCGTCTTCGCTCTGTGCATGGCCACACGCAGCGGTATAAAAGTTAAAAAGCCAGTTGAGCATCTGCTCTAAGCTTTGACAAGGACTAGATATTTGAAGGTGAGAAGGGAGAAAAAAACAGGCAGATTTGATTTTGACCAAAACCCAAACATTCCAGCTTGGTGTATGGTGCCTGCCTGTGTAAAGCCAGCACCCAGAGGGAGGCAGCGGAAGGTGCATCTCTGTAGGCTCTAGGCTAGCTAGAATTTGGGCCTTCCCAAGGAGCCTGCACTTGGGATATATATCAAGTTGAAGGCTAGCCTGGGTACTCAGTGAGATGGAAACAAAACTAGCAGCTAAACTATAGCAAAGGGGTCAGTGCCACGAGAGCATCTTCAGCTGAGTCTGAGGCTACCGGCTCTCTGTTCATGGGAGCTGGCCCCCAGTGCCTCCCACAGGGTCACTTCCATCTGCTTCTCAGATGTTGGAGAACAGGAACCAGCAATACATCTGGCACTCAGGGCGACCATTCAGTAGCCATCCCTACAGGCCAGAGTGCCCCTTCGATCTGCTAGGCTTGCAGAAGGACAACCGAGGGACTTCTCAGTGGCCCTGCCTGGCCTGCACTCGCTGACTAGGCAGTGCTCTTCAAGAGGAATTCCAAGGAAATGCCTGAGGAGCGTCAGAGAGTGAGTGACAAAAAAGGTGTGGCTCAAAAGAACAGCTTCCATCTGCCCCACAGATGGAAGGGTCTGCGCGCAGGGAAATTCTCCAGATGCAAAACGTATTTTTCAACCAAGCTGAAAAAATAGTGCAGCCCACGACTTACACATTTGCTCAGTGGTAAAGGTTAGGCAGGCTTGGCACGCTGGTGCATGCTTAAAATCCCAGCACTGGGGAGGCCAAGCTGGAGGATCTAATGGCTAACCTGGGCTGCACGGTGAGAGCCTGCCTCAAAAACTTAACAGCAACAACAAATCAGAACAACAACAAAAGTGGTTAACTAAAGCTAAAAAAAAGTTTTCCCTGAGTTGTTTTTTTTTTTTTCTTCTTTCATTCCCTCTCTTTTTGTACTGCTGAACATGAAATCCTAATTCAGTGCAAGTTAGGCAAGTGCTCTCCCACTGAGTTACACTCCTCAACTCTCTCATTTTTTTTGGAAGTAGGGGGCAGGGTCTAGTAGTTTAGGCTCTCCTTAAGCTTGTAATCCTCCTGCCTCGGCCTCCTTGGTTCTGGGATTATGTACAGATGTGTGACATTATGCCTGTCCAGTATGAATTATTGTAAGAAAATATAGGTATACTTCAGGGCAGACAAGCTGGCCAGTGGGTAAAGGCAGCTGGTGACAAGTTTGGCAACCTGAGTTCGATCCCCAGGACCTACATGGTGGAAGAAGAGAAATGACCCTCACAAGCAGTCTCTGACTTCCACATGTGCTGTGGTATGTACATGCCACACAAATACCACTTCTCTCCCTGAATAAATACATGTAATTAAAAAAGCAGGCCCCCATCCATCCATCCACCCACCCCTCCACCCACCCCTCCACCCATCCATCCATCCATCCATCCATCCATCCATCCATCCATCCATCCACCCATCCATCCACCCACCCATCCACCCATCCATCCTCCCATCCATCCATCCATCCACCCATCCATCTACCCATCCATCCCCCATCCATCTACCCATCCATCCCCCATCCATCCACCCATCCACCATCCATCCCCCACCCACCCATCCATCCATCCACCCATCCACCATCCATCCCCCACCCACCCACCCATCCATCCATCCACTCATCCATCTACCCCCCCACCCCCACCCCATCCATCCACCCATCCACCTACACATCCACCCACCCACCTATCCATTCATCCACCCATCCATTCATCCACCCACCCATCCATCCATCTACCATCCATCCCCCATCCATCCACCCCTCCACCCTCCCCCCCCCCCCCCACCCCATCCATCCATCCATCCACCTACCTATCACCTCTATACACACAGAAAATAACTTGGAACCAGCAGACTCTGTTAGCTGACCACTATTCACTATCTCACCAACAGAACACCGTTTTGTTGACATGGTAATGTGTCTAATTAAAACTAATTTATCTTTTCAGACTCGTGTAGCTTGGGGTCACATGACCCTGTTTTGACTCATAAGAAATGGAGGACACCAGAATGAGGTTTAGGAAAGCACTGTTGGGAGAAGGTGGAGCTGGCTTGTGTGTCTGGCCTCTTCCTCACTTTAGTACAGATTTGTGCAGTAGCCTGTCAGTCATCTCCTGACATGTAAGCAATGGAACTGAGACTGAGGTACAGAGCCAATGAAACCTAAGCTTCAAAACTTTAGAGGGGTGTCCTAGTGATGTGTTCATATGGTCTTGATTTGCAGGAGTAGAAACATTTGATGCAGTCAGTTAATACTGCTGTCTGTCCTTTTGACTCCTTTTGTCTCTCCCCCTTAAGTCACTTGATGCTGGAATGATCAAAGCAGTTTTTTTTTTTGTTTGTTTGTTTGTTTGCCAAAGACACAAAGGTTGAATGAGCTGAGGTTCCATTCAACTTGAGCTTAGTAGGAAAACTTCATGATTCAGTCACGTATGGTCAAATACTTAGCTCTCCTAGTGTAAGGATTTACTATGTTAGAATATTTTCAAATTTCAGTGTGCAAAGAAACATGGAATGCTTGTAAGTCTCGCTGGTGGAGTATGGTAGAATATCATTCCAAAATAGGCCCCTTTGGCATTTTGAGCTAGAGACACTTGAAAAATCACAGATGCAACAGTGGGCTCTGAACTTCCCTGCTTCATAGAAACAAGAGATTAAAAACATCAGGCAAAAGCTGACTCTCCTGTATCAGGAGATGAGACATTTATGGTTGAAACTCCATGGGGTGAGAGAATTCTGTCCAAACACATCTTGTTAAAATATCACTTGTCATCTTTTCCCTCTCAGTAGAACACATCCTAATGTAGATGTGATATAAAATAACTCTGCTTTAAAGGAAATAATTTATTCTGTGCCAAATATGAATGATCATGGTTCAGGATCATGGATTCAAGTCATCCTGAAATAGTGACAGGACCTTTTACAGTCACAGAGAGTAAAGCCATGTGTGTGTGTCTGTCAACAGGTGGGAGGGCTAATCAGACTTTTCTGTTGGTCTCAGATACTGTCTTTATCAAGGATGAGGTCTTTGCTCTAGGAATCAGATGTTATCTTCACTGTATTCTTAGTTTTCTGGTTCCTCCCTAGGCTAGATCTGTAGCACACACTCCCAGTTTCACTGAACAGTAGAGAGGATATTAGCTGAGATACAGAAGTTGGTGGTAAGTGGCCGATAAAGGAAGTAAAGGCCACTAGGCCTGTCTCCTCTCTCTCTCTGCCTCCTATATGTGGGTCAGAGTATAAGCTCTCAGCTCCATGCTCCCTGCCATGATGAAATTGCAAACAAGCCCCCAATTAGATACTTTCTTTTATAAGTGTCTTTGGTCAGGCTGTCTCTTCACAGCAATTGAACACTAAGACACAAGGTATGTTTGTACAGATTTCTCTTGCTTTGCCAAAATTATGGGCAAGCACGATGCTAGATGTCACCACTGCCATTCTCTTATAAGCTTGGAAGAGTAACTTTCTCCCCTCTTCAGCATTTGGCACAGCCTGGCGCAGAGGTGCAGCGGCGCTGTGTGCTCCGATATACAGCTCTCTCGGGGGAAGGGGGCAGCAGCGTGGCTCAGCAGAGCAGGAAGCCAGGGACAACTCCCTTCCAGGCCTGGGCACCTTGGCAAGCTGTCCTGGCTGTTCCTTGTCCCTTCCCTGCTAGTTTTTAAATCAGTATTAGTTCCATGCCACATACAGGGATTCCAGGAAGGTCTCAGACAGCTCTTGTCTTCAGGGTGATGTATGCCAGTCGCCTGAACCTCATATGAACCTCTTATTAGGAACAGTTCCATCTGTTCAGTGTCTTCCTTTGTAAACTCCATGGAGGCAACTGCTGCATATTGAACTTCATCAGCATTCTGCTAGGTCAGGGAAATGGTCTTCAAGATTAAGGCTGTGAAACTAGTTTTCTGATGAAATGTTTCACAAGTGAACATCTTCTGACAGCCTGAGGCCTCTCCTGACCCTGCTGCCTCTCACTGAAAGCCCCAAGTCATGACTTTCAGGCACATACACTCCAGAGAAATGGCTGTGACTTGTGGGCAGTGCTATGGTTGAAATGTGAGATGTCATCACAGGCTCATGGACCTGGCTGGTGGCAGTTTTGAGAGCTTGTTGAATCTTTGGGACATTGGGCCTAGATGGCTGATGCAGCCTGGCTTAGGGTGGATCTGGTTCTGCTTCTAGTCTAGCCCTCTGCTTCCTGATAGCAACAACAGGAATGAGCCATGTCACAAGCTCCTGCTGTGGCAGCCAATATACTCCCCCCTTGTGCCAAGATGGAACATATTCCATGTACTGTAAGCCAAAAGAAACCTTTCCTCCCTTTGTCAGCTACGTGGTCACAGTAAAAGTCACTAAACAGTGAGCTGCCATCATTTGGGACATGTGGTTATGAGATGTGACATTAAGTTCTCTTATGTACCACGAATATTGCAAAGGGCAATACAAGATAGGACCTCTCTTAAAATACCTGGTCCACACAGGCTTCAGGCTGGTAATTTCAGGTCACAGTTCTGGGGGACAAAGGACAGCATAGGGGGACTTTGTGAATGATGGAGGCACTAGCAATGCACATGTGTGTGACTTAAATAAAGTAAAGATGTTTCTGAGATTCTAAGCTGACCTGGGGCTGGGGGTTCAAAGGAGTTCCCCCAGAATACATGCATGCTCTGACCCTGTTACCTGGGAACATGACTTTATTTGCAAAATGAAGATATAATTTGCAGATATAATTAAGAGTCTTATAGCTGGGTGTGGTGATACATGCCTGTAATCCCAGAATTTGGGGAGGCAGAGGCAGGTGGATCTCTGTGAGTTTGAGGCCAACCTGGTCTACAAAGCGAGTCCAGGACAGTCAAGGCTACACGGGGAAACCCTATCTCAAAACAAAACTAAACCATTATTAAGAGTCTTTGAAATGAGGAGGTTACCCTGGGTTACTGAGGTGAGTCCTAATTGTTTCTACAAGACACAAGTGAGGACATACAAAAAAGAGGAGGCCACTGAAGACGGAAGCAGAGGTGAGAGGGAAGCGGACACAAGCCAAGGATCACCTGGAGTTACCATGAGCTGGAAAAGTCAAGGAAGGGCTTCAGAGCTTCAGAGGCAGCCAAGCCGTGCTGATACCTGGAGCCTGGACCTCTGTGCTCCAAAACTGTGACAGAATGCATTTCTGTTTTAAGCCAGTCAGTATGTGCTCCTTTGTCCCTGCAGCCATGGGAAATGGACGCCCTTGGTCTTCAGCTCTATATAAGCCATTCTTTTTGTCCTCCCTCTACTGCTTATTGCTCCACACAGTGGTAATGGACACCGACGAGATAAGCAAGAGTGCAAGGAACTGTTCTGCTAGATCCCAAACCATTAGCTCTATAGTAAAAGGGGCATGCAGGCATCAAGGAGGCTCTGAATGTGGGTTATGGCGCAACGACACCATTTCCGAGTGCTCACCATCTGTGGGTGCTAACTGAAAGCTGTCTTTTGAACCCCACCAGGATGTTCAACCAAACTGGCAGTCCCAGCATGCTCTGCCTCGGGTTTTGTTGTGAAAAACAGTGAGTACTGCTCAGACCTCTGCTAACTAGGTGGTAGTGGCTAGCCCTCCTCTAGCCTCCTTCTGTCACCTGCTTCTCTTTCTTCTTTTGTTCTTGCCCCAAGTCTATTTTTCACAAAGTAGCCAGAGTGTGACTCTAAGTTGATATGTTGGTTTATTTATTTGTTTATTTATATTAAAATATTTTTGAGATAGCCTTTCATACCTCCTAAGCAGGTCTCAAATTCACATGTAGTTGAGGATGTCTTTGAAATTCAGATCTTCCTACTTCCACCTCCTTTGTGCCAGATTACAAGTATGTGACTTAGAATGGAACCCAGGGCTTCATGAATGCTAGGTAGGCACTCTACCAAATGAGCACATCCCCAGCCCCTGCTAAAACATAAATCAACCGAGTCTTTCCCCTACCCTCACTCCCTGCACTTACGGGGCTTAAAATCCACATTCCTGCCATGACCTACAGAGTTCCATGAGCTGGCCCCTGGTTCTCCCTCAAGCTCAGGTTCTCCTAGTGTGAACTGCTACTCAGTCCAGAGTCCTTGGGAGGTTCCTCACATGATGGGGACAGGTTACTAGGGAGACCAGCTCCTGAGGAGGGCCCGAGGGTCCAGCTGCGGGTGGTAGTGGGCATGGACGGGCATGTTCTGCTTCCACTTGCTCCTGGAAATTGTTCCTCCGCTCTGAAGTTTTCATGAGAGCACCCTATCTGCCTATGCATCTGCTCTCTGGTACCCAAGACACCGGTGGGCCTGGAACTACCATCACTTCATGGGTGAAACAGCAGATCCCTCCTAACGGGAGGACTTTCCTACTTGCTTGTTCACCTACTAGTTTTTGGAGCTGGCAGTTCAGCCTCATGTATGCTAAGAGCACGCTCTGCAGCCCCAGCCTGATTCCTTCCTATTTAGCTGGCTGGACATTGGCCAGTGGATTTTGGAGCTGGTCAAGCATCAGAGCTACCAAGAATCTCAAGAGGGCAGCTTCTGGCCCTATGGCAGATGATTACGCCATTGGCCACTCTTCTGTTTCTGAGACACTGCAATCTTCATGTTTTCTGCAGTCCTCACTGGCTTTTTGATTTCTACCCTTAGGGGTCCCTTGCAATGAGAGTTTTGGTTTCTTTAAAAACACAGTTATGTTATGGGAGCATGTTTTTGTTTTAATCCCACGTATGGGATATGGGGCTGCTTCAGTTTGTCCAGGGGTGTGATCTTTGCCAGGTGTAGATAGTTTAATTCTGGGAACTCTTGAGAGGGTATAAATGCCAAAGCACAGAAAGGGACAAGGTGGAGGTAGGGGCTCCTACAAAGAAGGCAGCTGCTACTCCTGTTTGCTATTGTTGCAGTTTGGAGACACCCTGATACAAAGATGGGACTTGCCCCAAGGAACCCGACAACCCTACTCAGCATGAAGTAGTCCAAAGAGACCCATGCCCCCTTACCCCTCTAACCTTCTGTCTTTCCTACCTGGTGTTAGGGTGTAGGAGGGGACTGGGGGAGAGAAGGGCAGCAGAACCCAAATAAAGCAGTGTAAAGAAATACTCCAACAGTCCCTCTTCCTTCTCCCATGCTTGACATGTAGGAGAACCCTGGCTTTAAGCCTACTCTCCCTGCCTACTGAACTTCAGCCACTACTTCTGTGTTGAAAGGCCTTTAAACTTATTTAACACATGGAAACAAAAAGATTCGCCTGGGATGACCATTAGTGTGGGTGACACTACAGACGTTGTGAAGGTTCCTGGCAGCCCCTTTTAAACCCATTTCTCCCCAGCTCCACTCCCATTTACCAGCAGGTCTGTCTATCTCCGAGGCACGTTAGGGCCGCTGAGAGCAATTGGCTAACACGGATCTTTTCTAAACCCTAAGCTCTACTGAACCTTGAGTTACTGCAGGCATTAAATAATTTGCCTGTCTTTCTGCCCCTCCCGTTCCGGACACCTCCGTCATGTGCACTTACTCCCAAGTACTCTGTGGTTAGAAGCTTCTCGCCTGAGAGTTCTCCAAGCTGGGGCTGGATCAGTTCATCTTTGTCCAGGTCAGCTTCCATGATGTCATGATCCTCCTGTTTCAAAGGAGACAGGAATGAGAGTTCTGGACACCCACCCAGCTACAATCCCCCCAGAGTGTGCAGGCAGCTGCTGTGAAATGAGGTCTCAGGCTAGCATAAAGTCCCATCGGGTCTCAGAAGCCATCTGTCCTTTGCTCATAATTCCTCCAAAAGGTGAAGAGGCAGAGCTGATAACCCCTGAGGAAGCTGGGCTCCCAGGAAGTACTTCCATGCTGTAGATATGAAGATGTCTAAAGAGCCCCTCAGCAGCCGTCACAGCCAGGAGATCCTCTCTGAGAGGATCAAGTGAAAGGCCAAGCAGTCGGATCAGAGACACCTGATAAGCACTTCCACATACACAGGCCTATCGAGCTGTGAGGCAGCACATGACAAGCTTGTTCTTCTCTAGGGTTCACAGGTCATAAGAGACTCAGCACTTTAGTCTCCATCACTGGAATAAGATAATAGGCCTGGAGTGATGGCTCAGTGGTTGAGTGCTTGCTGTGTACCAGGAGAAGCTGTGTTCAGATCTCAGCATCTGCGTAACATAGGTATAGTCTTGCGTATGCTTATAGCCCATATTGTAGGAAGAAGATAGTATAGTTAAGAGGATCACCAGGTTTTTCTGGCTAGTAGCCCAGGAGAGCTCTGGTTTTAGGGAGAGACTCTGCCTCAAAGGAATGAAGGACAGAATGATAAAGGTCTGCCACCTCCATGAGTCAACCGGTGGCCAAGGAGACACCCTGCCAAGTGTCAGAGAAGGTGTAAGTGGAGTTCAGGGAGATGAAAGGGCATAGGACTGGCTACGCAAGGCGCCTAAGCACTATGTATGCCTGACTCGGGCCAGAATTTGGTGAAGAACTCCCAACACCCAGGGGCAGTCAGGGCAAAGGCCAGTGACAATGAGAATTTCAATGTTAGACACACAACAGACAGCAGACTCAGCAAGAAGAGAAAGTGGTTTTGCTTCTGGGAAAAGCCTGTGGACACACCTCCCCTGTCCTTCAGCCAAGTGCAACTAAAACCCTGGATGTTACATAGAAAATAAACACACAAGACCCTGGGAAATGGAGAGCACGGACTAACCATGACTGACAGGAGAAACCCCTACCTGTCAGACCTGGTGCCACAGAAGCCAGTCCCCAGAATGTCAACAGTGAAGACAAGTTTGTCTGAAGACTTTCTTGTCAAGGGACAAGAAAGGGAGACACTAGGAGGTCAGATACGTTTTAGAAAATAACTACCTTAAAAAGCATTGTGTGCCTGGCAGTGGTGGTGCACACCTTTAATCCCAGCACTCAAGAGGCAGAGACAGGCAGATCTCTGCATTCGAGGCCGCCTGGTCTACAGAGTGAGTTCAGGACAGTCAAGACCAAACAGAGAAACCCTGCCTTAAAAAAATAAAAAAAAAAAAGCATTGTGTGACTAGTGTCCAATCATGCCAGCAAGGGCCTCATCCTGGGCCTCTGCCTTCCAAGACTCTGATCAAGCAGTGTATCAGAGAAAGCCAAGCAGAGGGGTATTTCTTTTCTTTCAATGTCTGAATCCAATGCCTTTACTTTTATTTGACGATGAGCAGGATTAGCACACCCAGCAACTCCAGTGACTTTTGCTCACAGCACTGAGAAGCAACGAGCTTAGCAGGGTCTCGCTCAGGGCCACGCCTCCGCCTGGCAGCACTGTCCTTTAGAGCTACAGGGCATCGACACCCGTGCAGCCACCAGACCAAGCTGAACTGTCAGGGCTTAGCTGAGATGGGAGGCTTGGGTTGTCTCAGTCGGGGGACAGGACCCTGAAAGACCCTTGAAAAGATGCCACGGTGCCTGGTCCTAGACCGAGTCTCCCTGTTAAAGCACATACAGACAACACTGGTCCTGGCCCTCTCCCTATGGTCCTGGTTTTGGCAGAATGTCTTCTTTTTCAGAGTTGCTCTTCTTAAATCAACACTATAAGGACTCCATCAGAATAGCAAACACCCCCGGATGGAGCCTAACAGAATACAGGCTGGGATGTGACTATCTAGGATCTAAGGATGGGCAGCAAGAAGACTCACCCTAAATCTCTATCCTAGCAGGCTAAGGGGGTGGGAAGGAAGTGGGAGAAACAGCATGCTTTGCACAATTTGACAATACTGTGGGGGTTCCCCAGGACCACTGGCCTCTGCAGCACCCCTACTTCCCAGACAGCTGCTCGTATCCCACTCTGCCTAGTAACACGTGCCCACCACCGGGGCGCCCAGGTGGTGCTCCTTGTGGAAGGCCGCCACCTTGAGGTTGCCTCGGTGGTCTCCAGACCTATTGCTGAGGATCACAGCTGTTGCTGGTCACAGCTCAGTGGCTCGTCCTGCACACACACCAGCCAGATTTAGCTGTGGAATCCTGTGCCATTGGGACGCCCAGAGCCCACATACTCTGAGAGGACCATGCCATTACTGATGTCATTACCCTTCATGTTGACCACCAGAAAATGGTGCCACTCCCAGAATTTGGAGTCTTTCCTGCTAGGAACATGCGGGTCTGTGAGGACCAGGGTGTAGAGTTTCCCTGGATCGAGGCCATCCCATGAAGCACTGCTGGGCCCATCCTTGACCTGAGTGGGCATCAGCACTTTGTCCAGCTCGCCCACCTCCTGCGGGCTCAGCGCCCAGCCCACTGGCTGATGTCAGCGAGCATGGCGACAGAAGGAACGAGGGCATGCGCGCTGAGAGCAGAGGGGTACTTCATCTGTGTTGGGCACTGCCGAGGTCCCCACTGTCCAGTGAGGAGACACCAGACGGAACAAAGGCTGCCACTCCCATGTGATAGTAAGTTGGTGTCTCCCTGCTGGGGTAGTGTCAGAGGCCAGTGGCAGGTAATCATGGTGAAATCCTACCTTTTCTCGGGGCGGGGGTTATTTGTGGAAACTTAGTAGGGAATCTGAACCACCTACCCAAAGCTGCGAAATAACAGGGGGCCATTCATCTGGACACCTTGCTGCAAAGGTTCAAGGTTTGGTGCTGAGTCTGTTCTCAAGGGGTGCTGAGGTGACCTGCTTCAGTTCAGTGTCTGATCCCTGTAAACCAACCAGGGAGAGGGTAGAGGGGCAGGCCTTGCAACATGCTACCACAGAGGCATTTCTGTGCCTGTCTGTCCCTGATTCACTCTGGGGACAGGTGAATCATGGAGCCTTTCTAGCCATGCTTGTTTATTTGTCTGGGCTAAACTACCAGACAGAAAAGCGAGTGATGGTGTAGCTCATTCTGGGCCAGACTAAGTTTCTGGTAAGTTCTGTTCAATTGCAATAGTGAGCCTTGAAATCCTTAGTCAAGTTTGCTTGGCTGTTTGTGTCCTTTAAAATAAATTTCCAGCAGGAAAGTAGGTGGTTCCTTTGAGAGTTCAAGACCAGCCAGGGCTACATAGTGAGTTCTAGGCCATTCACAGCTATGTAGTGAGATTGTGTCTCACAGAACAACAACAAACAAATGAACAGAAAAAAATCAATGAAGATTTAATTCTTAGCCAGGTGTGGTGGTACATATCTTTAAGCACCAGCAAATGAAAGGGCAGATGAACCACAACAGGCTAAGACTGTTTTGAAAGAGGACATAAGAGGACTTTGACTGATTTCCAGAGTTACTATACAGCCAGAGCAATCCACATAATGTTTTGTTGGCAAAGAGGCAGACAGAATTAATAAAAGAGAAGAGGACTCAGAAACAGACCTATATGAATGTTCCCAACCAGTTCTTTCTTTTTTTTCTTTTTGGAGCCAGCACAGTCTTGAACTCTTCCGCTCAAGCGATTCTTCCGAAAGCTGAGACTACAAGTACACATCATTGTACCTGGCTAGCTTCCAGCTGATGTTTGACAATTAAGAGATGGTAAACAGTAAGTATACTGCCTAGGGATAAGGAAAGAAAATGTCTTTTTACATATATATATATATATATATATATATATACCCAATACACATTTATTGCATAACCAACAATGCACAGATTGTCCAAATACGGAAGTGCAAACAAGCCATGAAGTAGACACGAGGCATGACAAAGAAACCATTCAAACAACTGTAATAACAGTTGATGCTGAACCCTGTTACACAGGATTCTAAGTGGGAAAGAACTGGCTTAGAGCACGGTGGGGCAAGGGTTACATTATGTTCTTTTAACTATTACCACTACAACAGACACTCTAGCACTCAACTTTTAAATAATATTGATGTCTACACTAACAAATTAGCATTTGTTCTTTTAAAAATTTATTTTTTTTATTAATTACAGTTTATTCACTTTGTATTCCAGCTGTAGCCCCCTCCCTCGTCCCTTGAAAATGTCCTTATGTATTCAGTACAAACATAAATTTTCCCCATGAGTATTTTTGATCTTTGATTGGCTGAATCCTCAGGTATGGAATCTGTGGATACCAAGGGCTGACTGAAAATATCACTAGGCTGCATATGCCAAGCGCTTCTTCCACATCAGATTGTCTCCTGTGGGTTAAATCTCAAAGAGATTTAACTCAGTTGCTTAGAGCTGCAACTGAGGCATCAGGCACAGATGGAGTGAGTTGGCTGGCTCTGAGGGTGAGCAAGTGTGGTGCAGTCTTAGAGGGGAGCTCCAAGCCACCTGACACCTGCTCCTTAACATAGGCCAATCAGTCTGCCATTGAGTCCTTGTACACACAACAGCCTTATGGATGGATCTGGTTCCCCTCAACCTTCCGACAAGAAAAGGAAGCACTGTTCTGAAAATGTGGGTTCCCTGTGCTCATTTGAAGCCATTTTTGGGTTTTCATTGGTGTTTAGTTTGAATACAGAATGTGCCCTATAAGCTCATGTACTGAAGGCCTGAACCTTGTACTGGAGATGTTATCTGGAGAGGTTCTGGGAACTTTAGAGAGTGGGGCCTCAGTGGAGAGAGTAGGTCACTGGGGTTGACTCCTTGCTCTGGCCCCTTCCTTGCTGTTTCCTGAAAGGCAGGAGGGAAGCAGTCTCTGCCACATGTTGCAGGATATTTAATCACACTGTGAAACCTG